GATAGGAGCTTATAATGGTTTACCTTGCGTGCCAACATGCTATTACAATGGTTGTGATGTGGTATGATAGGGTGGTATCCTCTTTTGAATGATTCAAGTGGCTTGACTTGGCACATGTTCACGCATGTAGTTGAAACAAAATCAACATAGCCTCTACGATATTTATGTTCATGGTGCATTATATCCTACTCATGCTTGCATTCGGTGTTGATTAATTTTAATGCATGTTCATGACTGTTGTCGCTCTCTAGCTGGTCGCTTCCCAGTCTTTTTCTAGCCTTCACCTGTACTAAGCGGGAATACTGCTTGTGCATCCAATTCCATAAACCCCAAAGTTGTTCCATATGAGTCCACCATACTTACCTATATACGATATTTACCTGCCGTTCCAAGTAAATTTGTATGTGCCAAACTCTAAACATTCAAATAAACATTCTATTTTGTAAGCTCGAATAAGTCATGTATCAACTAGGGCTGTCTGTATCTTCCATGTTAGGCGGATTATTCTCAAGAGGAGTGGACTCCGCTCCTCACTCACGAGAAAAAGGCTGGTCACCGGGATGTCCAGTCCCATGCTTTATGCAAATCAAATCAAAATAACTGCAAACAAAACTCCCCCAGGACTCTTGTTAGTTGGAGGCACTCGTCGTTTCGAGCAAGCCATGGATTGATGCTTGTTGGTGGAGGGGGAGTATAACTTTACCATTCTATTTGGGAACCGCCTATAATGTGTGTAGCATGGAAGATATCGAGATCTCTCGGTTGTTATGTTGACAATGAAAGTATACCGCTCAAAATATTATTCATATCTATTTCAAAACCGAGCTCTGGCACCTCTACAAATCCCTGCTTCCCTCTGCGAAGGGCCTATCCATTTACTTTTATGTTGAGTCATCATATTCTTATTAAAAAGCACCAGTTGGAGAGCACCGCTGTCATTTGCATCCATTACTGTTAGTTTACATTGAGTATGACTTGACTGGATCTCTTTTACCATGAATTACAATGTATAGTCAGTCCTTGATCTTTAAAGGTGATCTGCATTTATGTTTTGCAGTCTCAGAAAGGGCTAGCGAGATACCATCTTGTTATATCATATCATGATTATTTTGAGAAAGTGTTGTCATCCGAGATTTATTATTATTGCTCGCTAGTTGATTATGCCATTGATATGAGTAAACATGAGACCTAAATGTTATTGTGAATATGGTTAGATCATAATCTTTGCTGAAAACTTGAATGTTGGCTTTACATATTTACAACAACAAGAGCAAACAGAGTTTATAAAAGTTTTTCTTTATCACTTTCAGTTTATCAACTAAATTGCTTGAGGACAAGCAAAGGTTTAAGCTTGGGGGAGTTGATACGTCTCCATCATATCTACTTTTTCAAACACTTTTGCCCTTGTTTTGGACTCTAACTTGCATGATTTGAATGGAACTAATCCGGACTGACGTTGTTTTCAGCGGAATTGCCATGGTGTTATTTTTGTGCAGAAATAAAAGTTCTTGGAATGACCTGAAAATCAATAGAGAATTATTTTGGAATATATAAAAAATACTGGAAGGAAGATCCACGTCAGGGGGCCTCCACCTGTCCACGAGGGTGGGGGCGCGCCCTACCCCCTGGGCGCGCTCCCTGCCTTGTGGGCCCCCTGACGCTCCACCGACCTCAACCCTGACTCCATATATTCACTTTCGGGGAGAAAAAAACTAGAGAGAAGGATTCATCGCGTTTTACTATACGGAGCCACCGCCAAGCCCTAAACTCTCTCGGGAGGGCTGATTTGGAGTCCGTTCGAGGCTCGGGAGAGTGGAATCCGTCACCATCGTCATCATCAACCTTCCTCCATCACCAATGTCATGATGCTCACCACCATGCGTGAGTAATTCCATTGTAGGCTTGCTGGACGGTGATGGGTTGGATGAGATTTATCATGTAATCGAGTTAGTTTTGTTAGGGTTTGATCCCTAGTATCCACTATGTTCTGAGATTGATGTTGCTATGACTTTGCTATGCTTAATGCTTGTCACTAGGGCCCGAGTGCCATAATTTCAGATCTGAACCTATTATGTTTTCATCAATATATGAGAGTTTTTGATCCTATCTTGCAAGTCTATAGTCACCTACTATGTGTTACGATCCAGCAACCCTGAAGTGACAATAGTCGGGACCACTCCCGGTGATGACCGTAGTTTGAGGAGTTCATGTATTCACTATGTGTAAATGCTTTGGTCCGATACTCTATTAAAAGGAGGCCTTAATATCCGTTAGTTTCCAATAGGACCCCTCTGCCACAGGAGGGTAGGACAAAAGATGGCATGCAAGTTCTTTTCCATAAGCACGTATGACTATATTCGGAATACAAGCCTACATTACATTGATGAACTGGAGCTAGTTCCGCGTCACCCTAGGTTATGACTGTTACATGATCGATCACACCCGGCATAATTCTCTATCACTGATCCATTGCCTACGAGCTTTCCATATATTGTTCTTCGCTTATTTACTTTTCCGTTGCTATTGTTATCATCACTATAAAACACCAAAACTATTACTTTTTCTATTGTTACTTCTGCTGATGTTACCACTACTATCATATTACTTTGCTACTAAATACCTTGTTGCAGATATTAAGTTTCCAGGTGTGGTTGAATTGACAACTCAGCTCCTAATACTTGAGAATATTCTTTGGCTCCCCTTGTGTCGAATCAATAAATTTGGGTTGAATACTCTACCCTCGAAAACTGTTGCGATCCCCTATACTTGTGGGTTATCAGGTACTACCGCAAGGCAGGGTTTGTCTGGGCTGGGAAGGCGCGGATGAATAAAAATACATCTGTGGCACTTCCGCTGAGTTTCGATCTATGCAAAACTCCGACACGGTACTACCGCAAACAGGGAACGATACTACCGCGTAGGGTGCGGATGTAAAAAATTACATCCGCCCCTACTTCCGCTCGTGCTGCTGTGCCCGGCCTGAGACCATGGTAGTACCGCGCCCGGGGAGCGGTACTACCGGAAGGGCCTGCGGTACTACCGCATCCCTGGCCGGTACTACCGTGGGCCTCTGCGGTACTACTGCTCCCATGAGCAGTAGTACCGCATGCCACAGCACAACAATCACCAGGAGTCCTTCATTTTGTAGAGATACGGATAAACGATGGTTTCTCCAAAGAGGCAAAGGAAAGGTGGTGCAAAAGGAACAGACGTGTATGTGATGATTCCACCCAAACCTTTTCAAAGCGGACCCCCTCTTAATAGTACGGCTTTCCTATGACTCAAATCCACCAAAAAGAAACGTAGGTAAAACTCTGTCTTCACTAGACTCCGAGGGGCAATGAATCGTTTTGTGCCTAAACATGAGATATCTGAAATGCTCAATGCACACGATTAGTCCGTAAATGCATTATCATCAATCATCAAAACCACTTAGAGATAAATATGCCCTTACACCTATGAAGAAAAAATGGCAGTGGAGATGGATCTCTTAGGTATATACGATGTGCGGATAACTAGTAAGCGGTACCCCTCGCAGAGCTCATTCCCACCTTCAGTGATGATGCACTACATGTTTTTGGCAGATTCGTTTCTTTAAAACACTGTATCTCTTAAATCATACGTCCAAATCACGAACTATTTTCACTGTTGGATTTTATCGTGTCAAGATCATCAAAATTAGATCCCATGTTAAGATTTCGTCAAACTTTTTTCACAAAAAACATAAAATCAGAAGAAAAAAAATGAAAAGAACCAAAAGACGGGAAAACGACCAGAAATCATGGGAAAAACCTAAAAATAAACTAAACTTAGAAGCACATTTGTGCTTTTCATTTTTTTGAAAGCACACATGTGTTGTTCCCTTTCCAAAAAGCATAACTGAGTGCTTCTCACGGAACAAGCTATTCTTTTTTCTTTTATGTGAGTTATAATTGTGCTTTTATCTGTTAGGAACACAATTATGCTTCTCGTGAAAGCATAAGTTGTGTTTCTCGCGAAAAAACGCATCTTCCATGAAAAAACTCACCAAAAACTAAAAACTAAACAAAAGCCGAAAAGTATAATTTTTTTGAAAATGTGTGTAATTTTTTTTTTTGAAATCCCAGGGGTACACTAAGCGCGCCACACATGACACCAGATGTGCTACAAAGTGATGCACTTTCCAGTCCAATTAAAGCCTTTGGTTCCCTGAGAGGGCACTCCCTAATTAGTATTCTTAGGCAAACCCTCTAATTAGTTTTTTTGAGAGAAAACCCTTTAATTAGATAGTTCCGTATGCGTGTTGACACAACACGTCGTCGTGGGTGCAGGGCCCTGCCAGCCCACCTGGCCAGGTTTGGTTGACCGCCCGTGCGAGATGCCCCCCTCCCCCCTTCCCAAACACTTTTTCCATGGCATAGTGCATACTTCATAGACCTAATCATTCCCCGGGACAGGTTGGGTTTGGGCTAGGCTTGGTAAAGCCCGATGAAAAAAATCCCAAGGCCGAGCCCGGCCTGAAGCACATGAACACTGCGTTTTTTAATTAAATTAGTCATATTCTAGATATTATATTAATTTATTATACCTATATTTTGATTAAAAAATATATAGGCATTTCGGTCTTTTGGGCCTGGGTTCAGGCGAGAAATTGGAGCCCAAGCCCGGCCCGAATGTCGGGCTTCAGGTTCGGGTCACCGGGCCGGGTTGTCCATGAACAGGTTTAATACTCCCCCTCCTCTCATCCGACTGCGGCCGTGGGCACCGACTCCGACCTTCGCCGCCGCCGCCTGGCCCGTCTCTTGATCGGAGCCGGACTGACGGAATCGGTAGATTGATTCGCGTGTGCTAGATCCAGGCCGCGTCTTCATCAAAAGGCCGATTGTCCCCCGACTAGGGTTTGAAAGGGTAGAGCAGCAGGGTCAGATTCAGGCAATGGAAAACCACCACGACTCCCTCGCCGACGGGCGGGGCGTCGACGGCTGTCCCGGGATTTCATACTGAGGCACGAGGAGGCGCGGATGCGAGCCGCGGAGGCCAAGGCCGCGCTAAACAGGGATCACTGGGAGTGGGACGACGACGGTGCATATGCCGTCATCGATCCGGCCTCCTTGAAGGCCATGGTGGCCATGGAGACGCCGAAGGTGGGCGAGACGAGGGAGCAGGGCTGCGCGGTGTGCCTCGAGGGTTTCGTGGCCGGTGGCAAGAAGCTGAGGATGATGCCCTGTTCCCACTCCTTCCACCAGAGATGCATCTTCGACCTGCTCCTCCGTAGCCGATTCTGCCCGGTCTGCCGTTTCGAGATGCCCCCCAGGTCCGCCGACGAGCCGGAGCCGGAGCCGGTGGCTGAGAAAACCGCTACTACATCTGAACGAGTTGGCAGCAACTGAGCTGAAGAATGTCCATCGATTGAGTGAGTCACTCTGCTTGCAGCCGTCCCTGTTTTATGTTCGTCTGAATATCTGATTACCGATCACAAGCAGTGTAATTTTGTTCAAAATTACTCTCCTCAATGTTTATCAAAACTACCACTTCCTATCATAACTTCTAATGGTGGAAACAATCTCAGTGGTGCTTGCCCTGGCTCCTCACCTATACAGGAATCGATGCTATTGATTTGTTGAGTTTACAAAGTTCATCATTCTTTCGGTAAATTTATCTAGTCATATTGTATCGCTGTAGTGCCTTATTCAAATATATTCATCTGAATACTTAGAGGAGTTTATCGAGTCCGGGGCTGGACAGATCTTTAGGCCTCATTTCACAGGGGAAGTTTTGCAGCCCCGGAGTGGAGGGGATCTGAGGGGATTTGGTTAATCCCTCTCTTTCAAACGAGACTTGCCTGTTCTTTATGCGTGTGTCCATCCGTACTCATGCATACATGGCTTGATTTGATTAGAACAAAATAAGGCCCGACCCCACCCCTTAAAATCAGGGGGAGGGAGGGGGATGATTAGATTAGAAAGGGAAAAGGAAAAAAGACAGCCGTAGAATGAAGTGGGAGCACAGATAGAAGCATGGAGAGCGAGCAGGCAAGCCGGGTCCCTCTCTTTCACCCAATCCCCTCAATTCCCCACTAATCCCTTCCTCCTCATAAACCCCTTTATTTGATTAAATCTCCTACAACAGCAGCAAAGCAAGCGTCCAATTTCATGGGTGCCTTGGGGGGCTTCTGTACCACATGGATTGAGGGGGATTCGTGGGGAACGGAGAGGATTGGCCTGCTCAATCCCTACGTGTCAAATGGGCTGATAAATATTTCTGGGGATTTTGAACACTGCGAGGATATTCTTCTCCAAACCTCTCCAAACCTCCTTCACCAAACAAGGCCTTAAGCATATGTGAAAGACCAAGATTCCTCTTAAGACTAACGGAAATGATAAGTATCTGACATCAGGTAGGTGCACATGGCAAATCAAACAATTTTATGGCAACATTAGTTGACGCGTGTGGCAATTTTCTGGCAAACAACATAATACGGGCGAAATTGCCATGCCAACTAAGGCCTTCTTTGGTTCATAGGGTAGGAATATCATAGGAATAGGAAAATCATAGGAAGTGAGGTGGCATGCATCTCACTTCCTATAGAGAAAGAGATGTCACTTGATTCATAGGATAGGATTTTTTTTCATTGAGTCTAGGCTAATGTTTTTCCCCTTTGAAATATGAAGGATTAATTCATATCCTACATATGAATAGGAATTCATTCCTGCAAACCAAAGGGCTTTATAGGAATTTTTCCTACAAAAATCCTATCCTTTAGAAATCCTATAAGATTCCTCCAAACCAAAGGAGGCCTAAACTTATCATCCTTGCGTCAACTAAACTTGCCACAAAAAATGTTCATTTTGCCATGGTCACCTACCTGACGTCCGGTAGTTATCGACGTCCAAGATTGAAGTGTGGTTATGGCTGATCTGGCGCAATACCAAAGATAATATGAAAAAATGCAAACGAATTGGTGATTACACTTGTCAATTTTGTGATGAAAATAAGAGCAACTCCAACGCGCTGACCCAAACAGGCGCGCGTTTTGTCCGTTTTTTGTCCGTTTGGGTCGGCCGTCCACTCGGCATCCGCCCTGTTTTTTGTTTGGGTCGGTGCGCTGCAAACCCATATTTGCCCACGAGGCCGGCTTGCCGTCGTTTGGCAAGCAATATACACACATTTTGCATAGTTCCACAACCCAAATAATTATATCATAGTTTACAAGCCGAATAAAAGTTTAATTGTCTCACATACATTTTTAAAAAAAGATACATCTATTGGTTGCCAGCATGAGCCCACATATGCTCAGCCAAATCATCTTGGAGCTGAATGTGAGTTTGCTGATCACACATTTCATGTTGAAATTGAGTGAATTGTGCAAACATTGTCGCTCCCCCATGCTCAGGCACAACATTGTCGCCCTGAAACTGAAACCCTTGATTGTTGATATGTTCCGGGTGCTCATCCTCTACGAACATATTGTGCATGATTACACAAGCAGTCATCACCTCCCACAACTTCTTGATGCTCCAAGTTCTAGCAGGATAGTGAACGATGCTCCACCGAGATTGGAGAACACTGAAGGCACGCTCCACATCCTTCCTAGCACTCTCTTGCCCTTGTGCAAATCTCCTCCTCTTCTCTCCTACAAGGTTGGAGATTGTGTTCACAATAGTAGTTCACTCATGATAGATACCACGAACTAGCTAGTATCATTTGTTGTAGTTGTGGTCGTTGATGTTAACATTCACCGGCAGGCAGTTGCCTTCGACAAGCCTTGCAAACACCCAAGAGCGTTGAAGCACGTTGATATCATTGTGTGATCCGGCCATGCCGAAAAAAGAGGGCCAGATCCAGAGATCTTGTGAGGCCATGGCCTCAAGTATGATAGTGCAAGCCCTGACATGGCCCCTATATTACCCCTGCCAAACAGAAGGGCAGTTTTTCCACTCCCAGTGCATAAGATCTATGCTACCAAGCATCCCCGAGAAGCCTTTGCTAGCATTCATCGCCAATAAGCGGGTTGTATATGCAACATTTGGCTCTCTCAAGTACTCAGGGCCAAACACTGCAATCACAACCTTGCAGAACCTGTACATGGACTCTAGGCATGTGGACTCGCTCATACGGACGTACTCATCAATGAGATCATCGAGAACTCTGTACGCAAGCATCCGAATAGCTGCGGTGCATTTCTGATAAGAGGAGAAGCCAATCTTTCCAAGGGCATCCTACTTGCACTCGAAATACTTATCATAACCGACCACTCCCTCTCGAATAAGGTTGAAAACATGCCAACGTCGCCAGAATTAGTGATGTTTGAAGATCGGGTCCGGTGTCTCAAAGTAGTCCTTCGAAAGAAGGAAATGGCTGCTCTCTCGGTTGCGATTCAATGCTGCATTGTGCCTCGGGATCGAGCCCCGGAACAATGGCCGCTGCCTAATAAGTTGGTCATGGACGACCAACATGGCAGCCACCATCTCCTCATCATCGGAGTCACAGAGAAAATTGTAGAAAAAGAACTCGTCGATGGAGTCCATTTGTACCTTTGGGGCAAACCGTCGAACAGCTTGCGGGCGTCGTCGAAGAAGCTGGCCGGGGAAGAAATGTGTGCCTCCCCTGGACCAGGTAGCTGGTCGACGGCGTCCCACGGGCGTGGCGGTGTCAAACGAAGGAGCTGGCCGGGGGCGACTTCGTGCTCGCGGCGACGTTAGTGTGGGGGGAAGCTGCGGTGGCCTGGCGGCGAGCGGTGTTGGCGGCAACGTGGGAGGTGGCGGTGTGTGGGCGTGGACTGCTGGCAGGGGCACCGAAAGCGGCGACAACAACGGGGTAGGGTGGGCGAGGGCTTGCTGTTGATGGGGGTGGAAGAGAATGTCCTATGTGCCACCGGCTGGCGGGCCGGGGAAGGACTTGGCAGGCGTCGCGCGTGCCCATGTCGTGTCTGCGCCGACGCAAATGAAGCTCAAATTTGGACCTGGACTGGGTCAGCAGGCGGACGAAAAACGGACGCGCATCCGTTTGGGTCGTCGCGGACAGAAAAATCGGCCCAACGCATCGACTCAAACGGACGCGCGTAGACGAAATTGGTCGACGCGTTGGAGTTGCTCTAAAAGCACCCATCATTTATTCTTTATTTGTTTTGCTGCTGTTTATATGTGGAGCATTATTTACCGTGCTCTGGGTGTTCTTTTATAGACGTGTGTGTTTTACACAATATTTGGTGCCTATAGCCCTGTTGAAAGCTCTTTTTTTAACATGGTGAACTGGCACACTTGTCAATGTAGCACATGAGCCCAATCCGTAGTGTTCAAAAAACATTATTATGTTCGTATATGTAATGTGCATCCACATTTGGATCGATGTACTTTACCCTCACAAAAAGTTTCAGAACATAATTGTAACACCCCGGATGTAATTTACCTTATATGTATCCCAATTCTTACCGTTTCCTGCACTAAGTTATTTTATTTTCCTCGGATTAGGGTTTTTGTCTCCGTGTGTTGTTGCCTTTGTTATGCCATTATGTGCATTGCATTTACATACGTGTTCATCTTATGCATCCGAACTTTTTCCCCGTTGTCTCTTTTGCATTCCGGCGCTCCTATCTCCTCCGGTGCCCCTTTCTACCTCTTTTCGTGTGTGGGGGTTAAACATTTCCGGATTGGACCGAGCCTTGTCATGCGGCCTTAGTTTACTACCGGTAGACCGCATGTCAAGTTTCGTACCATTTGGACTTCGTTTGATACTCCAATGATTAACCGAGAGACCGAAAATGCCTCGTGTGTGTTGCAGCCCAACACCCTTCCATTTTGGATCAAAACCCACCAAAACCTCTCCCATCATCTAGAGCGTTCGATCACGATCGCGTGGCTGAAAACCGCACCTCATTTGGAGCATCCTAGCTCCTCCCACCTCTATAAATAGGCCTCCTCCGAAATTTTCGGATCTCTCCACCCCTAACCCTAGAAAATCCGCTCCTCCGCGCGCTGGACGTGTCCGGCCCGTGCCAGACAACGTCCGCCGCCGCCCGCAGCCACCCGGGACGTGCCACGTGTCCCGGCTGGTCTCTTCCCGCCGCCGGCTCGCCGAAGCCCGGGGCGGGCCCTCCCGCGCCGCCTCCCGGGCCACGCCCCACGCCGCCACCCGCCTTCCAGCGCCGCCCTTCGCCGTCCTACCGCCGACCTTGGACGCCGGTGAGCTCCGCAAGTCCGGCCGCCGCCAGCGTCAAGCCCCGCATCGCCCGAAGCCCGCCGCCGCCAAGCGCCGCGCCGGCCCCGCGAACCTCTTCTCCGGCGAGCGCCAAGTCCGTCGACCTCGACTCCGGCCGGCCATCCTCGGGCGCCGTGCCAGCTACAGTGCCCGATCCGGATCCAGATCTGGAACCCTAACCTCGGTTGACTTT